CGGCCCGCCCCCGAGAGGAACCGCAGCGGCTCCGGCTCCGCCTCTCAGCCGTGCCCCGGCGCGGCTGGCACTGCCCCCAGCCCCCCGAGCCGTACCCCGGCACCGCCTCCACCCTGTCCGCGGAGCCCCGGAACAGCCAGCGCCGCTCCCGGTATCGTTCTCCGGTAACCCTCAACGCCCCGCCGCGAGCTGCACACCCGGAACCCCGAGCGTCCGCTCTCCCCGCACTGCACCGCCAGCAGTCTCCCGTGCCAGGTGTTTCCATGCTGCACCCCGGCAGCCCCGAGCATCCGCTGTCCCCGTGCTGCACCGCCAGCAATCTCCCGTGCCAGCTGTTTCCATGCTGCACTCCCGGAAACCCCAGCGCCCCTCTCCCGGCACGCAGGCACACACGTGTCCTGGGCCGTGGGCCGCCGGCACGCGTGGGGCAGGGAGCAGCACCTGTGTCGCGACTGCTGGTCGCCGACAGATGTCGACTTTCGAGCTGGTGCCCCCGGCACACTCCCACAGTTCCTCTGCACCTGGGGGTGCTCTGACCCTCCGGGATGTTCCCTCCACATGTGCCTGACGACCCAGGCATGGGGTCTGCCCCATCCCAGGACAGGCAGCACTGGGTGTGCCTAATGAAGCAGTAGAGAAATAATGAAACGAACCCAAATCATCCTCCATTACCTTACAGCAGTAACCTACTACTTTCTGTGAGCAATGCAGACTGAAAGGAGGAGTAAACCAAGATGGAATCTATGGTTCCAAGGACTGCTAAGGTGCTGCAGCCCAGCTGTGGTTTTGGGCAGACTTGGGAACTCCTGAGGCTCCTCTCTGTTCAGCTGATGTCCTTGTCTGCAGCCTATGTTGTCCTACTGTGTAGCATAGTTGGACCCCAATGGTAGCTTAGACCACGCCCTGGATGAGATCAGCCCACAGAAGAAGTACATCGGTGCGGGCACGTGTGCAGGCATGGGCACAGACATCCATAGTACAGTTCCCCAGGGCCCCTAAAAGTCTTTACCTGGTCACTTGAAAAAGGCCTTTCCTAGTTACAGGAGAATTGGTCTGTGCTTTGAGGAGAGCTGTGGAAGACCAGCTTCCACATGTTGCCATGCGAAGGATTTAATCTGTAGTGCCTGTGTGCAAAAGGCAAGTTCCAGCTAAGTAGGAACCGAAGCTTGTCAGAATTTATATTAACATTGCAGCTGCATGGCAGGTGAGGTGATCAAAATGGTCCCATCTGCGTTGTTCAATGCTGCTTTTCAGTTGCTCTTGGCAAATCAGGACTGCCTCTTTCCTGTGCTGAGCTTCATTGTTGCTGCAGTCCACAGTGGTGAGGAGGAGTGTGAGCCTAATATTGCTTTCCCAGAAGAGTCCTGTTTCAAAACTCCTTCTCCTTCTGTCTGCATTATGGGGAAGGAACTTCAGGAAAGCCAAGAGTAGAGCTGGCAACTGTAAAACTGTGACTGCACCTGGTTTTACAGGAACAGTTTGTCAGTTATGTCTTCTCTGCAAGGTCCCTTCTCACTTGGTCGCTGTGAGAAGCATTTGGTTATTACAGAGCTAGCTGTGGGTGTTAATGTTGACTGCTCCATAGCCTGTCTTTGCCACCAGGCAAGGATCCCTGGCTTCCCCAGCACTGCTCTGGCCTGTGCAGGGGTGCTCAGACATGTTATTTGAAAAGCTCAGTGCTATCAGTGTTAGGTATCAGTGAGCAATGCCATTTTTTTGATAGCAGGAACAGGTGGCCATTAGCACTGTGGGACAATTTATTTTGCATCCTTCCCCCAAACTACTTAAAAGTGTTTCAGGCTCTATGTCCTTCCCCGGGGTTTCAGGGTTCAACCCTATTGCTTGTGCAGGTTGAGAATTATGCGGTGATAGGGGAATTTTGTGTCTGATCAGTGCTGGACACGGGAAAGGACATGCTGTGCCGCTTAGGACAATCCTGGGAATTCAATGACTGTGCACAGGCTGCATGGTGTGCTTTGGGAGCAGGTGATGGCATTTGTATTTCTGGGTTCAGTCTATAAATAATAAATACTGAGAGTGCAAATTCTCCACACACATTTAATTATCATTTGAGTATTTGGGATTTTGGCCAGGCAAAATTCAATTTGTAATCACAAATCAGGAACTAATGTATCTAAATTGTATTATATGCCTTGCACTACCTTGTACTTAGAAGTCAGTGGGGAAATCCAGCAGCAGCCTCAAGATCCCAGCCTCACCTCTATAGCTTGGCCTGCAGGCTCCGAAGTCCCAGCCTGCCCCTAGCAAATACGAGGTTCTGGGGGTGGTGCTGGCAGCACGAGAATGTCCTGCCCATCATGCAGGAGCCTCCTGTACCTGCATCACATCGCCCTGCTGTCACCTTCCTCTGCCCACCAGAGGAATACACCAGCAAGAACTCCCAGCACATCAGCACCTCTGCAACTGGGAAAGGTTTGTATTGATTCTGCCTGTGCAGAATCTGCCCCATACTTCATAGTGTATAAATGTCATTGATTAAATGAAACGGACAAAAGATACATGGGTTTTGTGTCCCTAATCTAAGCTTTAGTTAGCTGCTAACTGGTGTGAGGTGAGCATTCACAGATTTATGAAAGCATGACATGACCTGCAATAGCTGGGTCCTGACCTGGGCATCCTGGAGCTCTGTGACTGTTCCCCTCCTGGGACACAGCACTCTTGCAATTCTTTCCTCCATATTATGGCTGCTCCTTTTTCCTGCTCCAGAGTCTCCCATGGCTAGTTGTTGTGGTATTCACATGCCCTCTGAATAGAGAGAGACTTAGTTTTCTCAGGATTTCTCCTGAGAGAAGCTGTGAGAGAAGCAGAGAAAAGAGAATCAAAACAATTCTTACCTCATTCACTGCGCCCTGTTTGTGCCCATGTGGAATGTGGTCTGAAGATTGTTTACCCAAGGTGATTGCTTATTTGATTCTGGTGATGGTGTTTGGATTCACTGACCAGTTGGATCCACGTGTGTGTCAGGACTCTCAGGAGAGTCACAGGTTTTCTAGTTAGTTAGTGATAGTTCTTGTTAGTGTAATATAGTTATAGTGTAATATAGTTTAATAAAGTAATTAATTTGCCTTCTGAAATTATTGGAGTCCTGCACATCATTCTTCCTGAGTCAGGGACCCCAGGACTATAAGTTGTGACCTAGCTGTGCCTGTGGAAGCCGCTGGCAGCTGCAGCTGTGACTCAGATGGCCTTTTCCTGCTGAGCGGTGCCCCTCAAACGGTTGCTGTCTGGTCTAGAGGAGGGCTGGGCAGGGTGTGAATGCCAGATCAGCCCCTGCACCCCCAGACCCTGTCTCCCAACCAGCCCCATGCCTGCCCACCATGTCCTCTCTCCAGGGCTGTCTGCTGCTTCACGTTAGCTGTCTCCACATTCACTGAAAGGAAATGTCCAAAGTTGCTGTGAGAGTTCATTCGCATCCACTTCATCATGTCTGTGTGCTGGCTGCTGTATCCTCCATTTCTCTCCCATGGAAGTGGGAATGAACACACTGATTCCCTGTGAGGATAATAATAGTGGAGGGCAAGGGTACAGCAAGCCACAGACATTTTCTATAAAGCTGTTGCAGGGAAGTGCCCTATTGTCCTCAGCCAAGGAACAGGATCAGACCTGTCACCAGTCTGTGGATATCAGCACTTCATCAACACCTTGTGAACTTTATTAAATGTGGAAAGTCAATCTGCTAATAAGTAAACACACTAATAATTAATAACTCCTGATCCTCCTTTTGTGTTTGTTTATATGTTTTGTGATGGCATCTTTTTACCATCTGCTGCATAACTGGATTTGGGGAATTCAGTACTGCCCAAGAACAGACATTTATACTTTCTATTATTACAGGGTTTTGTGAAGTCAAGAGTTTTGCTGTGCAATTATGTACATTGTGAAAAGTAATTTATTCTGTTGCATTTAGACCAGATGCCAAATTACTTCTTCTGGCACTTCCTAGCTTCTATTGTGAGAAACAAGTAATAACAGTTTGCTATCTATCTGCACTGCACCATCTGCAACACAGCAGACCCTGGTCACCTTTCACAACTGATAATTTCTTTTTTACCCTTTTCATATGGGACAACTGGACAGCATATGGTGTTTGAGATGTGGGTTACCTGTGTGTCAATATATTCATAATAGTGTTACCACTCAGCCCTTTCCCAGATCATTTACAGCACATGAAGCCACCAAAGCCAAGAGCCTGGTGAAGCTGAAAAGTGAACTGACAAGTCTATCAACAGCAAAGCATTCAGCACTGTCATGGGCAGTGAACACACAAGTGATCAAAGTTGATGAGCAGCTCTATCAAGCGCACCCCTGAGAAAGAAGTTTATTTGTTATTGCTCAGATAAAAGCACAAAGCCCCCAACATGAGGCACTCAACCCTCTTCATCTAGAGAATGGAGCACTGGGCAAACACTGGAGCAAAGGCTGCTCTGCAGTGAGCAGCTGCCATACAAAAGGGGGTGTTGTGGCCCTCTGTAACGGACACACAGCCTGCAAGGAACCTGCTCTGGCTCTGTGCCTGATGCCCTGTTAGTACTGGGATCTCTTCTGGGTTCAGTGTCCAGTTAGGAGCTTGGGTTATAAGGAGGGAGAAAACTCACCTGGTACTGCCTGGAAAACTCACTGGGCTGGCCCTGGCTGGATACCAGCCTCCCATCAAAGCTGCCTCACCACTCTCCCCCTCAGCTGGGCAGGGAGGAGAAAGTATAATAAAACACTCATGGATTGGGATAAGGACAGGGAGAGCTCACTCACAGTTACTGTCATGAGCAAAACAGACTCAATTTTGGGAAATTTGTTTAATTTATTACCAATCAAGTCAAAGTAGGGCAATGAGAAATAAAAACAAATTGTAAAACCATCTTCTCACCACCCCTCCTGTCTTCCCCAGCTTAGTTTCACTCCCACTTCTCTCCCTCCTCCCCCTCAGCAATGTAGTGGGACAGGGAATGGGATCAATTCATCACAGCATGTCTCTGCCACTGCTTCCTTCTCAGGGGGAAGGTTCTCACACTCTTCCTCTGCTTTCACATGGGCTCCTCCATGGGCTGCGGGTGTGTCTCTGCTCTCCGATGGACCTCTGGTGGCTGCAGGTGGGTCTCTGCTCCCGCATGGATCTTTTTGGGCTGTAGGTGGGTCCCTGCTACCCCTGGACCCCACAGGCTGCAGGGGAATCCCTGCTGCAGAGCTTGGACCACCTCCTCTCATTCCTTCTGCATGGCTTGGAGGACTGCAGGGCTGTTGCTCTCACATACCCTCTCTCCTATCTCTGGCTGATGCTGTACAGAGTTTTTCCCTTCTTAAATACCAGAGGCACTGCCACCATTGCTGATGGGCTCTGCCTTGGCCAACAGCAGGTCTGTCTTGGGGTCAGCTGGCTTTGGCTCTGCTGGACGTTGAGGGAAGCTTCTAGAAGCTTCTCACAGAGGCCATCCCTGTAACCCCCCCCTCTACCAAAGCTCCGCCATGCAAACCAAATACAATTCCCTTAAGATGGAGTTTTGGGCAGAGCAGCTTATGGTGAAAGCCTAAATTATCCTGAGTTGTTTAGCCTAGAAACTATGAAACTGAGGGGGATGTGCTGACAGCTTTTCTTTCGATGCCTGACAGCTGCCAAGCATCTACGTGCTGCTGCAGAGACTGGCATGGCCTGTTCCATGTCAGGGGTAGAACTTCAGTCCATGCTGACTTGACCCACATGGAGACCAGGGCTGATCGTCCTCTCAGGGTGAGACTGCAGAATGTGGATTTAATTTCCAGCCACTCCTCCACCTCTGTCTTACTGCCTCTCCTGACATCCTCTCCTTGGCATTGCTTCTGACAACACCAAAGTAATTTGCCAGCTGCATCACTGGCACTGGGATCTGCTCCTTGTGTTTGCTTGTACTGACTGTGCGACTGTTCCCGTAATTTGGGAGCAGAGATGAAGTTTCTGGAGAAAGGGGAGAGCGTGTGCTTGCCAGCCAGTCTGGCTCTGCCAACCTATCTGTGCTCAGTGTGGTGCTCAGCCCAGCTGCCCCACGATGCAGTGCTCCCCAAGCCCAGGGGCAGAGCCAAGGGGGCGTGGGAAGGAGGGGAACCCTGGGTGATACCTGTACCTCCATGGCATAGGACAGGGAGCTGTCAGGGACATGGGCACTGACACAGTGACACAGGGCACTGGGCAGCTCGTGTGATGGAGAGCCACTTGTGTGCACCAGGCCTGGCAGGGATGTGGTGCCACAGAACCTCTCTCTCCTGCTCAGGGGCTGGTTGGGGGGTCCTTGACTCAGTGACCGGTGATGGGAGGTGGCCAGGGACGTGAGAGACTGGACCTCTTTTGGGTGGCACAGAGCCAGCCAGCCACCCCACCTGGAGGGAGCTGTGCAGATCAGCCTCAGAGCTTTGAGCCAGCCAGGGATGTGACCTGTCCCTACAACAGGCAAGTGCTGGTGCAGCACCTGGAGCCATTGGGCTGGAAGTGTCCTCCCTCCTTTGCCTGTGCTCTGCACAGCAGCAGTTCTGAGGCAGGGGCCAGGGCCAGGGTGGCTGGAGTCTGTCTTGAAAGGTGGTATTTGGTGTAGCATGGCAAGATGTTTTGATGAGGAAAGAGTTCAGCAGTAAGGAGTTATGAAGTAATCCTGTAGGCTTTCAGGATATCCCCATTTTGAGCACCAATTCAAACCATCTTTGAGGGGCTGTAAGGACAATATATAGATGTTATTGTGGCCCTTTTATTTTATAATACTGAATTTCATCTGCCATTTAATCTCCCAGCCACTCAGTATTCTAAGATGCTCTAGCACTTCTTCATGGTTGCCTTTTATTTCTTACTACTCCATGTAATCCTCAAACCTGACCTTAGTCCCTGCCTGTTTAGTTCCGGTGTCATGAGGGAAATATTTTGAACAGTCCAGTGTTAATGTGGATCCCTGCAGTGGCCTCACTCCCCTGAAAAAGCCAAATGTCTCCTCCAAATGCTTCCTCTAGCCCTCAACAAGACAACCATCCTGTCTAATGCATGGCAGTCTTGCTTTTTAAAGAGGTACAAGGCCTTGTCAAATGTTTTTGGAAATTCCAGCTGCAGCAAAATTGGATTGAAGATATTTAACTCTGAGGTTCCCAGTACAGGAAGGACCTGGAGCTGCTGGGGTGAGACCAGAGGAGACCACAGAGCTGCTCCAGGGCTTGAGCCCCTCTGCTCTGGAGCCAGGCAGGGAGAGCTGGGGGTGCTCAGTCTGGGGAAGAGAAGGATCCAGGGAGAGCTCAGAGCCCCTCCAGTGCCTACAAGAATGATGGGGAGGGACTACTTAGTAGGGTCTGGTGCAACAGAAAAAGGAGCAATGGTTTAAACTGAAGGAGAGTCAATTTAGATTAGATGTAAGGAAGTTTTTCACAATGACTGTGGCCAGACACACATACAGGCTGCCCAGAGAGGTGGTGAGTGTCCCCATGTTGCAGTAAAACAGTTGGGATCCAGTTTCTTCATGCAGAAAAAACCCATTCTTTATTTACAAAGCTTATATTTATAGGAAATATTAGAAGGTACTGTGTTAGACTTAATTGGCTAACAATATACTGGTATTTAGTTTACTGTTGGTAAATGACTAGGGTCTATGTTTCTTAAATCTCTCTCTATTTTTGGTTAGTTCACATATTTTGTTTTTTGATTTTTATGGGACAGATTTCTTGTTTATTACAGGTGCAAACAGTTTTCTTACTAGAATAATTTGTTGTGCTAACTGCTTTAATTCTTACGCTTTTTTACATGGGAAGTTATAAGCTAACTGCTAGCTTAGCTAGACTAGTGGGGTCTAAACTATATTTTATAAGGTCTTTTTAAAATACTATCTTTACTTATATGCAACATCCCATCCTTGGAAGCATTCAAGATCAGGTTGAATGGGGATCTGAGCAACCTGATCTAGTAGAAGACAAGGGTCAACAGGACCTTGGCCTGGTTGACATTTGAAGTTGACATTTAAACCTTCCAACCCAAAGCGTTCCATGATTCCATGTGTGAAAAAGTCTTCTTTGAGGTTTACCTCCTTAGCAAGCACTTAAATCAGATTAAGTCTGTCTCCCATTCACATCCTTCCTCTGCATATGAGCCCTCCTCTTTCCTGTAGCCCTTACTGCTGCACAGGCTGATCTCTGGTTCCTGTGAGATGAAGGAGTGACCCACAAAAAGGGCACCACAGGTGCCACCTGTCCTGGTCACCACCACCTGGCACCACGGGTACCACTTGTCCTGGCCCGTGGCAGCTCTGCCTGCCAGGGCACTGCCTGAGCTGTGGCCAAGGGCGGGTGAGGGACCAGCCCATGCTGCAGGGGCACAGAGGGCCAAGAGCCTCCTTGGCCATGGGGAAGAACTGGAAAGAAATCTGACAGCATTGACTGTGATTTTCCTAACCTTTAATTTGGGTCTGCCTCCCCAGGAATCACTGGGACCGTGTCTTTGGTTCTGGTCGTTCTGTGGTCCAGTGCAGGCTGTGTCTGTTACCTGCTTCCGAAGAAAAACAGAGACTTGCTTCTGAAATGCAACTGCACTTTTTGAAAACAGAAGCCTCTGATTTAGAAGACCTTTGAGCATAACAGATGGGTTTTTGGACCCAATACAGCATGCATAAAAGAGGACACTGTGCTAATTAATGTCTCAGCAGAGCTGTCCAATATAGCCACCACCCCTCCAATCTCACTCTCATTCCACTGTATTTTAATGAGAAGATTGACCTACTTAATTTTGAAGGCAGCTGGCTTTCAGAGCCAAGCAACACATGAAGAAATAATGTCATGCTTATCAGTCCCACAGCATCCCAGGATGACATTAACCCTCCACAAGCCAGGAAGGTCCCCGAGCAAGCACCTAGAACCAGACTGCTCTGGAAGCTGGTCCCTGGCCATGGCTCTGCTCCCAAATACCTGCAGTGGCACAGGGAAACATCTGATTTATAGGTAATATCACTGCAAGGAAAGTGAAGCAGTAGAATAACTGTCCTGGCACAGGTGTGGTGTCCTTACCAACAGAGAAATGACAAACTAATGGGAGGTACCCCAACCTGACAGCGATAGAGCTAAGTGCATGACTGCAATGATTTCATTCTCACACGCCACATTCAGCACAAGACTGTTCCATACAGGCAGGACTGACAAACTGCACTGGATATCTCTGTGTGAAGTGCACCCAGTGTGACCGTTTCCTCTCAACAGAACAGCTCAATTTTTTTGCAACATTATTAAATGGCATTATTAAAAGAGCTTAAACCTTAAAGCTACTGCATTGCATAACTTGCAGGGAAGGATGGTACGTGATCTCATGAAAATTACTGAATTATTATTGACATTTAACAAATCTTGGAACAATGGGGAAATCCTTGAGGATTAAGGAAAACCAATGTGGTTTCACAGAGAAGTTTTCTGTAAATATTATTCTTTAATTAATTGCAAGTCCATTTTGGTAAAAGTAGCTGTTGACATAATAAATTTCTCTAAGGCCTGTTCTTGGCCCCACATGTTATACAAGCCTCAGTGGAATACATTAAATGACTGATATTAAATAACTGTAAATAAGGATTTGTCCTAGAGAGTCCCATACTCTGCAGCTAGTTGACATCTTTATCAATAATATTAATGAAATTATATAACAATTGCAAAGAGAATCTGTATATTAAAACCAAGCTTTCTGGAAAAGTTACTGTACAAAACATAGTTATTAAGGTCCCTGCTAGAGTAGTCCTGTGAAATACACCACAATGTTTCAGAATGTGTTCATCATGTGCTGTCTTGCCTTAAACCCTGCCGTCAAGTTTCTAGAAGCAAAATAAATGAGTCCTCAGAGGCATTTGCAGAACACCTGAAAAATGTACTTAAGAGGGTGAAAGTGAATATTAACAGTGTAGTGAGGGATTTAAGGACAAAAAGAAGTAGGTGAGAGCAGAGCAAGGTCATAATTTTCTCTTACATAAACCAGACTGTTACAGAATGCTGCAGCTGGTTCCTGGTTCATCCTTCTGGATTTAAAAAGTGAAAAATGCACCAACTGATATATAACATGTCAGCAAAGAACAATGCACAAGAGAAAAAAAAAAAAAAGAAAACCTGTTTTGACTGAGACTAGCAAGCCTCTTTAGCTCATACATAAAATTATGTATGGTGTTAATTATGACTACAAATATGCAGGAAGAAATTTCTGATACCCTAAAGCTATTTCAGTTACCAGGACTCAGCAGTATGGGATACAGAGGCTGAAAGAAAACAAGTTCTGATGAGAAGACACAGCAGTTTTAGTACAATGAACCATTGCAACAAGTATTGAGCGACTAGCTGGTCTCTTTTGTCACTTCTGATTCTTCAAAACTGGAACTCTTCCTAAACATGTACTTGCTTGAGTAGAATTGGTTAACAGCAAGGACCAGTTTGCTGGGGCAGTGGGCAGCGTTCCTCCAGGGCCTGCTGCCCACCCAAGCTGCTTGGTGCAATTGATTTGCTGGAGGAGAGGGATGTCATCCAGAAAAAATTGGGGAATCCATGGATGGAGTGCAGCCTGGGGGACAAGGTCCTGGGATAACAAAATTAGGATAACACAACCTGGCCACATGCACGGGCAGCCCAGAAACCACCAGTGTCCAGTGGGGCTGCCTCTCCAGCAGCGTGCACAGCAGACAAGGGAGGTGATTCTGCCTCTCTGCTGAATTCCCTGCCCCCAGAGCAGAGCAGCACAGATGCCTTGGCCCCACTGCAGCAGGATGCAGGTGCTCCAGGACAGATCTCTCTCCTCACAAGCAGTGCACTGGCAGCAGTGCCACCACCTCATACCAGCTTGAGCCAATCCCACAAACAATCTGCTGTTGTGCTGACAGTGATGGATCG